TCTAAGGATTCGTCGAGAGGCCACAAGAAGAGAACCAGGGCTACTCGTCTTGAGCACCGTTAAGCAGAGCATCCTGTGTCTTCAGAAAAAGACCAGACATGTACATAAGTGTAGTGATAGCCCCAGCGAGTGACTGTTTATATATTTATTTATTGGTGGTGGCAATATATATTTAAGTTTAGTATGTTTGTATCCCTTCCCCTTTAATTTACTTGCGTTACGGAACACACCCCTTGAAAGCCACTACTAACTAGGGGCCGGATACCCTACCTCTAACAACATCAGAGAAAGAACCCAGTTGCGACCCAATAGGGCCGTAACAGGCAGGCAGCTCATGGTAAGTGAGGCTGGCAGCTCATGGAAAGTGTGAGGCAGGCAGCTCATGGTGTGAGGCAGGCAGCTCATGGTGTGAGGCTGGCAGCTCATGGTGTGAGGCAGGCAGCTCATGGTGTGAGGCTGGCAGCTCATGGTAAGTGTGAGGTAGGCAGCTCATGGTGTGAGGCAGACAGCTCATGGTGTGAGGCAGACAGCTCATGGTGTGAGGCTGGCAGCTCATGGTAAGTGTGAGGTAGGCAGCTCATGGTGTGAGGCTGGCAGCTCATGGTGTGAGGCTGGCAGCTCATGGTGTGAGGCTGGCAGCTCATGGTAAGTGTGAGGTAGGCAGCTCATGGTGTGAGGCAGGCAGCTCATGGTGTGAGGCTGGCAGCTCATGGTGTGAGGCAGGCAGCTCATGGTGTGAGGCTGGCAGCTCATGGTAAGTGTGAGGCTGGCAGCTCATGGTGTGAGGCTGGCAGCTCATGGTAAGTGTGAGGCTGGCAGCTCATGGTGTGAGGCTGGCAGCTCATGGTGTGAGGCTGGCAGCTCATGGTGTGAGGCAGGCAGCTCATGGTGTGAGGCAGACAGCTCATGGTGTGAGGCAGGCAGCTCATGGTGTGAGGCTGGCAGCTCATGGTGTGAGGCAGGCAGCTCATGGTAAGTGAGGCAGGCAGCTCATGGTAAGTGTGAGGTAGGCAGCTCATGGTGTGAGGCTGGCAGCTCATGGTAAGTGTGAGGCAGGCAGCTCATGGTGTGAGGCTGGCAGCTCATGGTGTGAGGCAGGCAGCTCATGGTGTGAGGCTGGCAGCTCATGGTAAGTGTGAGGCAGGCAGCTCATGGTAAGTGTGAGGCTGGCAGCTCATCGTAAGTGTGAGGCTGGCAGCTCATCGTAAGTGTGAGGCTGGCAACTCATGGTAAGTGTGAGGCAGGCAGCTCATGGTAAGTGAGGCTGGCAGCTCATGGTAAGTGAGGCTGGCAGCTCATGGTAAATGTGAGGCTGGCAGCTCATGGTAAGTGTGAGGCTGGCAGCTCATGGTAAGTGAGGCTGGCAGCTCATGGTAAGTGAGGCAGGCAGCTCATGGTAAGTGAGGCAGGCAGCTCATGGTAAGTGAGGCAGGCAGCTCATGGTAAGTGAGGCAGGCAGCTCATGGTAAGTGAGGCTGGCAGCTCATGGTGTGAGGCAGGCAGCTCATGGTAAGTGAGGCAGGCAGCTCATGGTAAGTGAGGCTGGCAGCTCATGGTAAGTGAGGCAGGCAGCTCATGGTAAGTGAGACAGGCAGCTCATGGTAAGTGAGGCAGGCAGCTCATGGTAAGTGAGGCAGGCAGCTCATGGTAAGTGAAGCAGGCAGCTCATGGTAAGTGAGGCTGGCAGCTCATGGTAAGTGAGGCAGGCAGCTCATGGTAAGTGAGGCAGGCAGCTCATGGTAAGTGAGGCAGGCAGCTCAAGGTAAGTGAGACAGGCAGCTCATGGTAAGTGAGGCAGGCAGCTCATGGTAAGTGAGGCAGGCAGCTCATGGTAAGTGAGGCAGGCAGCTCATGGTAAGTGAGGCTGGCAGCTCATGGTAAGTGAGGCAGGCAGCTCATGGTAAGTGTGAGGCAGGCAGCTCATGGTAAGTGAGGCAGGCAGCTCATGGTAAGTGAGGCAGGCAGCTCATGGTAAGTGTGAGGTAGGCAGCTCATGGTGTGAGGCTGGCAGCTCATGGTAAGTGTGAGGCAGGCAGCTCATGGTGTGAGGCTGGCAGCTCATGGTGTGAGGCAGGCAGCTCATGGTAAGTGAGGCAGACAGCTCATGGTAAGTGAGGCAGGCAGCTCATGGTAAGTGTGAGGCTGGCAGCTCATCGTAAGTGTGAGGCTGGCAACTCATGGTAAGTGTGAGGCAGGCAGCTCATGGTAAGTGTGAGGCAGGCAGCTCATGGTAAGTATGAGGCAGGCAGCTCATGGTAAGTGAGGCAGGCAGCTCATGGAAAGTGAGGCAGGCAGCTCATGGTAAGTGAGGCAGGCAGCTCATGGTAAGTGATGCAGGCAGCTCATCGTAAGTGTTAGGCAGGCAGCTCATGGTAAGTGTGAGGCAGGCAGCTCATGGTAAGTGTGAGGCAGGCAGCTCATGGTAAGTGTGAGGCAGGCAGCTCATGGTAAGTGAGGCTGGCAGCTCATGGTAAGTGTGAGGCAGGCAGCTCATGGTAAGTGAGGCAGGCAGCTCATGGTAAGTGAGGCAGGCAGCTCATCGTAAGTGTGAGGCTGGCAGCTCATGGTAAGTGTGAGGCAGACAGCTCATGGTAAGTGTGAGGCTGGCAGCTCATGGTAAGTGTGAGGCTGGCAGCTCATGGTAAGTGAGGCAGGCAGCTCATGGTAAGTGTGAGGCAGGCAGCTCATGGTAAGTGAGGCAGGCAGCTCATGGTAAGTGAGGCAGGCAGCTCATGGTAAGTGAGGCTGGCAGCTCATGGTAAGTGAGGCTGGCAGCTCATGGTAAGTGAGGCAGGCAGCTCATGGTAAGTGAGGCAGGCAGCTCATGGTAAGTGAGGCTGGCAGCTCATGGTAAGTGAGGCAGGCAGCTCATGGTAAGTGAAGCTGGCAGCTCATGGTGTGAGGCAGGCAGCTCATGGTAAGTGAGGCAGGCAGCTCATGGTAAGTGAGGCAGGCAGCTCATGGTAAGTGAGGCAGGCAGCTCATGGTAAGTGAGGCTGGCAGCTCATGGTAAGTGAGGCAGGCAGCTCATGGTAAGTGAGGCAGGCAGCTCATGGTAAGTGAGGCAGGCAGCTCATGGTAAGTGAGGCTGGCAGCTCATGGTAAGTGAGACAGGCAGCTCATGGTAAGTGAGGCTGGCAGCTCATGGTAAGTGAGACAGGCAGCTCATGGTAAGTGAGACAGGCAGCTCATGGTAAGTGAGACAGGCAGCTCATGGTAAGTGAGGCAGGCAGCTCATGGTAAGTGAGGCTGGCAGCTCATGGTGTGAGGCAGGCAGCTCATGGTAAGTGAGGCAGGCAGCTCATGGTAAGTGTGAGGCAGGCAGCTCATGGTGTGAGGCAGGCAGCTCATGGTAAGTGAGGCTGGCAGCTCATGGTAAGTGTGAGGCTGGCAGCTCATGGTAAGTGAGGCTGGCAGCTCATGGTAAGTGAGGCTGGCAGCTCATGGTAAGTGAGGCAGGCAGCTCATGGTAAGTGAGGCTGGCAGCTCATGGTAAGTGAGGCAGGCAGCTCATGGTGTGAGGCAGGCAGCTCATGGTAAGTGAGGCTGGCAGCTCATGGTAAGTGAGGCAGGCAGCTCATGGTAAGTGAGGCAGGCAGCTCATGGTAAGTGTGAGGCTGGCAGCTCATGGTAAGTGAGGCAGGCAGCTCATGGTGTGAGGCAGGCAGCTCATGGTAAGTGAGGCAGGCAGCTCATGGTAAGTGAGGCAGGCAGCTCATGGTAAGTGAGGCAGGCAGCTCATGGTAAGTGTGAGGCTGGCAGCTCATGGTAAGTGAGGCAGGCAGCTCATGGTAAGTGAGGCTGGCAGCTCATGGTAAGTGTGAGGCAGGCAGCTCAAGGTAAGTGAGGCTGGCAGCTCATGGTAAGTGAGGCAGGCAGCTCATGGTGTGAGGCAGGCAGCTCATGGTAAGTGAGGCTGGCAGCTCATGGTAAGTGAGGCAGGCAGCTCATGGTAAGTGAGGCAGGCAGCTCATGGTAAGTGTGAGGCAGGCAGCTCATGGTAAGTGTGAGGCTGGCAGCTCATGGTAAGTGAGGCTGGCAGCTCATGGTAAGTGTGAGGCAGGCAGCACATGGTAAGTGAGGCTGGCAGCTCATGGTAAGTGAGGCTGGCAGCTCATGGTAAGTGTGAGGCAGGCAGCACATGGTAAGTGAGGCTGGCAGCTCATGGTAAGTGTGAGGCAGGCAGCTCATCGTAAGTGTGAGGCTGGCAGCTCATGGTGTGAGGCTGGCAGCTCATGATAAGTGAGGCTGGCAGCTCATGGTAAGTGTGAGGCTGGCAGCTCATGGTAAGTGAGGCTGGCAGCTCATGGTAAGTGTGAGGCTGGCAGCTCATGGTAAGTGAGGCTGGCAGCTCATGATAAGTGAGGCTGGCAGCTCATGGTAAGTGTGAGGCTGGCAGCTCATGGTAAGTGAGGCTGGCAGCTCATGATAAGTGAGGCAGGCAGCTCATGGTAAGTGAGGCAGGCAGCTCATGGTAAGTGAGGCAGGCAGCTCATGGTAAGTGTGAGGCAGGCAGCTCATGGTAACATAATAACTGTCAATAGTTTAACATGCCTGGGTTCACAGTGAAGTATTAAACTGTGACGTGTTAAGATGAGTGACCGTGACGTCTGGTGAGGAGGGACCTGGTGTTAGAGTCAGAGTGGACCAGTCTTGGACACTACTGTCTTAACAAGGTCAGGCTAACCTTAGGTAGGTAAGGTTAAGACTTAAGGGCAGCCAAGCCTGCTTCTCCCGCGCTAAATGTTTGTCTCAAGTAATCAGTTTAAACAAATTTGCTCACTAACTTTCCGTCTTAATTTCCTTGTTTTAAAAACTTCTTTTAAGTCTGCTTTGTTTTGGCGGAGCGGTGTGGGCGCTTGCGCACGCGCGTTTTCTAATTTGTCTTTCCTCACCTACGCGTACTCTCGCAGGGCTGAGCTCCAGGCCTTGGGTCCCGCCTCCCATTAGCCAGTTCAAGGTGTTCCACGACCCGGCCACCAGGTTCTCAGCAATGTCCATTATTTACAAATTTGTTTATAGGACGCATTGTATGGGGAAGAGTAACCCTGGGAGGCATTGTATGGGGAAGAGTAACCATGGGAGGCATTGTATGGGGAAGAGTAACCCTGGGAGGCATTGTATGGGGAAGAGTAACCCTGGGAGGCATTGTATGGGGAAGAGTAACCCTGGGAGGCATTGTATGGGGAAGAGTAACCCTGAGAGGCATTGTATGGGGAAGAGTAACCCTGGGAGGCATTGTATGGGGAAGAGTAACCTTGGGAGGCATTGTATGGGGAAGAGTAACCCTGAGAGGCATTGTATGGGGAAGAGTAACCCTGGGAGGCATTGTATGGGGAAGAGTAACCCTGGGAGGCATTGTATGGGGAAGAGTAACCCTGGGAGGCATTGTATGGGGAAGAGTAACCCTGGGAGGCATTGTATGGGGAAGAGTAACCCTGAGAGGCATTGTATGGGGAAGAGTAACCCTGGGAGGCATTGTATGGGGAAGAGTAACCCTGGGAGGCATTGTATGGGGAAGAGTAACCCTGGGAGGCATTGTATGGGGAAGAGTAACCCTGGGAGGCATTGTATGGGGAAGAGTAACCCTGGGAGGCATTGTATGGGGAAGAGTAACCCTGGGAGGCATTGTATGGGGAAGAGTAACCCTGGGAGGCATTGTATGGGGAAGAGTAACCCTGGGAGGCATTGTATGGGGAAGAGTAACCCTGGGAGGCATTGTATGGGGAAGAGTAACCCTGGGAGGCATTGTATGGGGAAGAGTAACCCTGGGAGGCATTGTATGGGGAAGAGTAACCCTGGGAGGCATTGTATGGGGAAGAGTAACCCTGGGAGGCATTGTATGGGGAAGAGTAACCCTGGGAGGCATTGTATGGGGAAGAGTAACCCTGGGAGGCATTGTATGGGGAAGAGTAACCCTGGGAGGCATTGTATGGGGAAGAGTAACCCTGGGAGGCATTGTATGGGGAAGAGTAACCCTGGGAGGCATTGTATGGGGAAGAGTAACCCTGGGAGGCATTGTATGGGGAAGAGTAACCCTGGGAGGCATTGTATGGGGAAGAGTAACCCTGGGAGGCATTGTATGGGGAAGAGTAACCCTGGGAGGCATTGTATGGGGAAGAGTAACCCTGGGAGGCATTGTATGGGGAAGAGTAACCCTGGGAGGCATTGTATGGGGAAGAGTAACCCTGGGAGGCATTGTATGGGGAAGAGTAACCCTGGGAGGCATTGTATGGGGAAGAGTAACCCTGGGAGGCATTGTATGGGGAAGAGTAACCCTGGGAGGCATTGTATGGGGAAGAGTAACCCTGGGAGGCATTGTATGGGGAAGAGTAACCCTGGGAGGCATTGTATGGGGAAGAGTAACCCTGGGAGGCATTGTATGGGGAAGAGTAACCCTGGGAGGCATTGTATGGGGAAGAGTAACCCTGGGAGGCATTGTATGGGGAAGAGTAACCCTGGGAGGCATTGTATGGGGAAGAGTAACCCTGGGAGGCATTGTATGGGGAAGAGTAACCCTGGGAGGCATTGTATGGGGAAGAGTAACCCTGGGAGGCATTGTATGGGGAAGAGTAACCCTGGGAGGCATTGTATGGGGAAGAGTAACCCTGGGAGGCATTGTATGGGGAAGAGTAACCCTGGGAGGCATTGTATGGGGAAGAGTAACCCTGGGAGGCATTGTATGGGGAAGAGTAACCCTGGGAGGCATTGTATGGGGAAGAGTAACCCTGGGAGGCATTGTATGGGGAAGAGTAACCCTGGGAGGCATTGTATGGGGAAGAGTAACCCTGGGAGGCATTGTATGGGGAAGAGTAACCCTGGGAGGCATTGTATGGGGAAGAGTAACCCTGGGAGGCATTGTATGGGGAAGAGTAACCCTGGGAGGCATTGTATGGGGAAGAGTAACCCTGGGAGGCATTGTATGGGGAAGAGTAACCCTGGGAGGCATTGTATGGGGAAGAGTAACCCTGGGAGGCATTGTATGGGGAAGAGTAACCCTGGGAGGCATTGTATGGGGAAGAGTAACCCTGGGAGGCATTGTATGGGGAAGAGTAACCCTGGGAGGCATTGTATGGGGAAGAGTAACCCTGGGAGGCATTGTATGGGGAAGAGTAACCCTGGGAGGCATTGTATGGGGAAGAGTAACCCTGGGAGGCATTGTATGGGGAAGAGTAACCCTGGGAGGCATTGTATGGGGAAGAGTAACCCTGGGAGGCATTGTATGGGGAAGAGTAACCCTGGGAGGCATTGTATGGGGAAGAGTAACCCTGGGAGGCATTGTATGGGGAAGAGTAACCCTGGGAGGCATTGTATGGGGAAGAGTAACCCTGGGAGGCATTGTATGGGGAAGAGTAACCCTGGGAGGCATTGTATGGGGAAGAGTAACCCTGGGAGGCATTGTATGGGGAAGAGTAACCCTGGGAGGCATTGTATGGGGAAGAGTAACCCTGGGAGGCATTGTATGGGGAAGAGTAACCCTGGGAGGCATTGTATGGGGAAGAGTAACCCTGGGAGGCATTGTATGGGGAAGAGTAACCCTGGGAGGCATTGTATGGGGAAGAGTAACCCTGGGAGGCATTGTATGGGGAAGAGTAACCCTGGGAGGCATTGTATGGGGAAGAGTAACCTGGGACGCATTGTATGGGGAAGAGTAACCCTGGGAGGCATTGTATGGGGAAGAGTAACCCTGGGAGGCATTGTATGGGGAAGAGTAACCCTGAGATTGTATGGGGAAGAGTAACCCTGGGAGGCATTGTATGGGGAAGAGTAACCCTGGGAGGCATTGTATGGGAAGAGTAACCCTGGGAGGCATTGTATGGGGAAGAGTAACCCTGGGAGGCATTGTATGGGGAAGAGTAACCCTGGGAGGCATTGTATGGGGAAGAGTAACCCTGGGAGGCATTGTATGGGGAAGAGTAACCCTGGGACGCATTGTATGGGGAAGAGTAAGCCTGGGAGGCATTGTATGGGGAAGAGTAACCCTGGGAGGCATTGTATGGGGAAGAGTAACCTGGGAGGCATTATTGATATACTTAATTCAGCAAGGCTCGTGTATCTGTCAGCACTGGAACATATCAAGGGGTAAGGTTTACGTGCATGTGTTTGATACACCAGGATGCTCCTAGTAGACACAACTTTACTACAGGAAATAAATAATATATATATATATATATATATATATATATATATATATATATATATTAAGGACAAGTATATATATAGTAAGGACAAGACAAGAACATATCGATGCCAACACAGAAGACAATGTCCAACATAACAGGCCAATTACACTGGATTAATCTTTGTGTTTAGATAGGAGATGCCTCGTATGGGCCAATAAGCCTTCTGCAGCCCCTATGTTTATCCCTTATGTATCCCCCATGTTTTCACCTTCATTGTATTATCACCTGACCTAATGCAGGTATAAAATCAACTAGTATTGTAAGATCTGTTCACTTGAGAATGAACCATGGAGGTTCGAAACGTCGTGCAAATTATACAAATAAGTGTAATACACTCCTTAGTAAATCACTTCTTTTCTTCACCTTAAAAGTACGAAAATGAGTTTTGGAGAACTCCTATTTCAATTAAGCCCTGATGCTAAGAAAATAGTTAGAGGGATAGAAGCCCTAAACCAGAAAATAATAAATACAGAATATGCAGTCATATTCAATGAAACATGTTTGAAAGAAAACCTGCTGCCAGTATACACCAATATATATATATATATATATATATATATATATATATATATATATATATATATATATATATATATATATATATATATATATATGTTGTTAAATATAACCGAAAAAGTAAGATTAATAATTCTAACACGAATTTTCTCAATATTTCTTATGTTTCTTTTTACTGTCGATGGTAATTGAAAAATGAATTCTCCAAAATTCGTTTTTATTTCTAGTCTGACGCGACGCTTGAATGCGTTTCATAATAACTTATTACATTTTCAAAGACTTTAGTTTACACACACACAACTGTAACCTGAAAACATTAAACAGAGTTTTACTTATGCTAAACACTTAAATAGCTTGTCTTATATACTCGCATTTGGGTGAGGTGATATGTTGCAACAGTTTTGGATGAGGTGAACAAACTTTTGACCAACACAAGACAGAACACAGAACATTGGGTATTAATTGGATAAATGAGAGGGAAGAATGAAAGTAACTGCAAAGGGCCTATTGACCCATACTTCCTCTTGATGCTTCTATATTGGTACGGAGTTTTGAAGTGGGTAGAATATAGTTGTGCATTAATTGGTTGTTGATTGCTGGTGTTGACTTCTTGATGTGTAGTGCCTCGCAGATGTCAAGCCGCCTGCTATCGCTGTATCTATCGATGATTTCTGTGTTTGTTAAGACTTCTCTGGTAATGGTCTGGTTGTGGGAAGAGACTATATGTTCCTTGATGGAGCCCTGTTGCTTATGCAATGTTAACCGCCTGGAAAGAGATGTTGTTGTCTTGCCTATATACTGAGTTCTTTGGGGCTTACAGTCCCCAAGTGGGCATTTGAAGGCATAGACGACGTTGGTCTCTTTTAAAGCGTTCTGCTTTGTGTCTGGAGAGTTTTTCATGAGTAGGTTAGCCATTTTTTTGGTTTTATAGTAAATCGTAAATTTTATCTTCTGATTTTTGTCTGTAGGGATGACGTTCCTATTAACAATATCTTTCAGGACCCTTTCCTCCATTTTATGAGCTGTGGAAAAGAAGTTCCTGTAAAATAGTCTAATAGTATAGTATAGGTGTTGTGTTAGTTGTCTCTTCAGAGGTTGCATGGCGTTTTACCTTTCTTTTTATGATGTCTTCAACGAAACCATTAGAGAAGCCGTTGTTGACTAGGACCTGCCTTACCCTACAGAGTTCTTCATCGACGTGCTTCCATCCTGAGCTGTGGCTGAGAGCACGGTCGACATAAGCGTTAACAACACTCCTCTTGTACCTGTCTGGGCAGTCACTATTGGCATTGAGGCACATGTCTATGTTTGTTTATTGGAAAGGAGCGGAGGCTTCCACACTGCAGTTTACACTAAGGAAACAAACATAGGAATGTGCCTATGTCCAGAGGAACACTGGTGCTACTGGGGTGTCCAGAGGAACACTGGTGCTACTGGGGTGTCCAGAGGAACACTGGCACTACTGGGGTGTCCAGAGGTACACTGGTGCTACTGGGGTGTCCAGAGGTACACTGGCGCTACTGGGGTGTCCAGAGGAACACTGGCACTACTGGGGTGTCCAGAGGTACACTGGCGCTACTGGGGTGTCCAGAGGTACACTGGCGCTACTGGGGTGTCCAGAGGTACACTGGCGCTACTGGGGTGTCCAGAGGAACACTGGCACTACTGGGGTGTCCAGAGGAACACTGGTGCTACTGGGGTGTCCAGAGGAACACTGGTGATACTGGGGTGTCCAGAGGTACACTGGACGGTGTCACGGGGTGTGCTCAAAGTGTACACAAGATTGTTCCACAAAGCTCCTTTACTAATTGTCAAAAATATACCAATAAGTTTAGATGTCTAAAGGCAGTACCAGGCTCGGGTGTGATGGGTTGGGTTTGGGTATGTTAGGCAGGAGAGTAGGTTGGAAAATATGTTGAGGTCGGGTGTGACTTGTACCCTGTCATGGCGCCTGAACCATCAACAAGCCTCCCAAAAAATATATATATATATATATATATATATATATATATATATATATATATATATATATATATATATATATATATATATATATATATATATATATATACCCTCATAAAAACTGTGAAGCAGTATCCTCCCCGCGATAACAGCTTGATGGTTAAATGCAACCTCAGAATACTGAGAAAAAAAAAATTGTACCACTTACGGGCTATTCATGCCCGTGCCACCTCTTGGGTGGTTTAATCTTAATCTATCAATCATCACCTAGCCAGCACACACAGCACCGCTCCTGTGCCAGGTAAGTCCACTACGGGCTGACCATAGCCCGTGCTACTTGCCCCGCTCCTGTACCAGGTAAGTCCACTACGGGCTCACCATAGCCCGTGCTACTTGCCCCGCTCCTGTGCCAGGTAAGTTTCGGGCTGACCATAGCCCGTGCTACTTGCCCCGCTCCTGTGCCAGGTAAGTTTCGGGCTGACCATAGCCCGTTCTACTTGCCCCGCTCCTGTGCCAGGTAAGTTACGGGCTGACCATAGCCCGTGCTACTTGCCCCGCTCCTGTGCCAGCTAAGTTACGGGCTGACCATAGCCCGTTCTACTTGCCCCGCTCCTGTGCCAGCTAAGTTACGGGCTCACCATAGCCCGTGCTACTTGCCCCGCTCCTGTGCCAGCTAAGTTACGGGCTCACCATAGCCCGTGCTACTTGCCCCGCTCCTGTGGCAGCTAAGTTACGGGCTCACCATAGCCCGTGCTACTTGCCCCGCTCCTGTGCCAGCTAAGTTACGGGCTCACCATAGCCCGTGCTACTTGCCCCGCTCCTGTGCCAGCTAAGTTACGGGCTCACCATAGCCCGTGCTACATAACAATTCGTTCTGAGTAGCTAAATCCAAAACAAGAAGAAGACCAAGCCTGGGGTTACTGGTGGTGGTCACTCGGGTTGTACACGTCTCCTCCGTCACGCGATGTTGTCGTGCTGAGGCGTGACGGTGGACGTGTGCACTGTTGCACAGTGTATAGTATTGCCGGAACAACCGTGGACATTTTCAAGAGGAAACTAGATTTATTCCTCCAAGGAGTGCCGGACCAACCGGGCTGTGGTGGGTATGTGGGCCTGCGGGCCGCTCCAAGCAACAGCCTGGTGGACCAAACACTCACAAGTCAAGCCTGGCCTCGGGCCGGGCTTGGGGAGTAGAACAACTCCCAGAACCCTATCAACCAGGTATAGTCACCGTTGTTGCTTCTTATTGTAGAGATTAAGTTTATTTTCATGTGTCCTAGGCAAGTTTATCTCAGGAATTATTTTGTTGTTATGATTGCTATTATAAGTAAAGTATTTAATTGTTTATGCTAGTATAAAGTAAGCAGGAGTAAACAAATATGTTTACTCCGGCAACTTTCACACCGTAAATGTCATTAGCAGTTTATTTACTGTTTTACTTTTTTGTTATTTATCGTCGGTGAGAGTGTTTGAGTGGCGCGAGCTGCTAGCTGCACCACCTGTGTGGCGCGAGCTGCTAGCTGCACCACCTCACCACCTGTGTGGCGCGAGCTGCTAGCTGCACCACCTGTGTGGCGCGAGCTGCTAGCTGCACCACCTGTGTGGCGCGAGCTGCTAGCTGCACCACCTGTGTGGCGCGAGCTGCTGCTAGCTGCACCACCTCACCACCTGTGTGGCGCGAGCTACTAGCTGCACCACCTCACCACCTGTGTGGCGCGAGCTGCTGCTAGCTGCACCACCTCACCACCTGTGTGGCGCGAGCTACTAGCTGCACCACCTCACCACCTGTGTGGCGCGAGCTGCTAGCTGCACCACCTCACCACCTGTGTGGCGCGAGCTGCTAGCTGCACCACCTCACCACCTGTGTGGCGCGAGCTGCTAGCTGCACCACCTGTGTGGCGCGAGCTGCTAGCTGCACCACCTGTGTGGCGCGAGCTGCTAGCTGCACCACCTCACCACCTGTGTG